ACAAAGCTGTCAGAGGTGTCAAAAAAGGCATTTCTCTCTGAGCAAGCAAGAAAAACAGATGGTTGGGGGGAAAAGAAAGGATGTGGGCAGAGACTTGGGCGGGACAAGGAAATAAGATAGGCACTGGAGAGCTTTTCTGGTTCTGTTTTTCGGAAGACATGAAGTTTATTTTTGTAAAAAGAAGATTCGACTCTGCGCTTTGTTGTTCTTTATTTCATTGTGACACTCAACTTGATGTGTCAAATATGAAACCCCGTGTTGCATCAGTTGTTTCTTCATGTCATATTTTGACATTAGCAGGGCAGCTTTGATCACCTCTTTAATTCAAAGGGTGGAAAGGTTTATGCTGCTGCACGTAGCTTAAAATAATTTACTAACCAGGGTGGATTTGCTGACCGCGTATACCCACCTTCACACGGACTCAGCAACTAACATTTAAAGCCATCTGCGATGGTCCGCCGAGCAGCTCCATAGGAGAGACAAGATGCTAATTCCCCAAAGATACCTTTGCAGCAGCATTTGGAGTATTTGAGAGTGAGTCATTCACTCCTCCCTCACACACTTCCCTCGTATGTGACTTTCATCCTAATCCCTGACTTCAGCTTTAAAAGTGAAGGCTTTTTGGCAGCAAACAGCCTCAAAAAACCGTCGGCTGTCACACCATCTGCATAATGATGCTGAAGCGCGCTGAAGTTTGCTGCAGTCATCTATCACCTACATGGCATTATCCACTATGTCACTTTGACCTGCTTCCACCCAGTGGTAACTCTTACAGATACTTCTGAATTGCGGGTGGTAAATGTCACACGGAGGTCAATAACAGAGAGGTTACGTAATTAAAAGACGTTTCCCAACTTCCATTGTTCCTCATCAATGATCGAAACTGGAGGCTGCTTCACAGCTCGCTCACTGACACTGTTGGGAAAGGGTTGCACGGGTGGGGTGTTTTCCGTAGTTGGATTATGTAATGGAGTCCAATGGAATACCATAAACAACCAATCTTAAGCATGAATGGCGTTTATGTGTTGGTGCTGTAAGATAGCGGTGTCGTGGAGTTATTGGTGGTTTCTGGAATTCCAATCAGTCCACGTGGCTAATAAGCATAAGACACACGTGGCATTTATGTCAATCCAGAGTATGCTCGTAAACTGTAGACTTCACGGCAAAGCATCCCCTCAGTTAGCTACTGCGTTGACAACCAAAGCAGTTTTCGTACCATTCTGCAAACACGTTTATTTCTGCTGTCAAGTCGGGGATTTGAACTCGGGTCTCTGTGGGGATTGATTCGCTTCGAGGAGCTGCAGTTTCTGGCACTTAATCTTTGGCTTCATTTTTCAGTCCCAGAGGTTGCAGTTTGGTCTGAAGCGAGAATGCAAATGTTTTTAAAATGACTAGTGAACCCGCTGATGAATTAATATTATATTATTACACTTTTCTTGTGCATGGCAGCGACTCTCTCTTCTCTAACTGAAAGGCAGAAACAGATCACTGAGCACCGATTTGAGCGTCTTGCCCTCTGGTAAATGTGATGTTAAAATACAAGTGAACTTTTTCTCAGTGTGGAATCGGGGTTAATTGGACTGTGTTCAAAGTTTGGATTAGCGTACAGAGGGCTTCATTAACAGCAGTTGGCACTGGAAAAGCCTTTGTTTGTTTCACAAATTAAGCCGTACAATATGTAAAACGCATTTAGGAATCAGCAACCTACCGATGTCGTTCGTGATTCGTTAACATTAAATTGCATACCAGTTCCTGTCTTCGGTTTATCTCGAGTGACATCTGCCTCTGTTTCTGGCTGCTCATGTGGAAAGTACAGCTGTAATCACTAAGAGTGCAGAGTCTATGCAAGGAAGAGAGAAAAAACACTGAATCAGGAGCCGTGTTTGTTGGAGACCTAGCTGCACATCTTTGCTTCTTTTGTGCAGTTCTCTTTGCTAGTGGGGAGAAGGGGTCATTTCAAGTTATCACCCTCCATTTCTCTGAGATTTCACTTTCTTAAAGCATTGTTTCATTTCAGACATTCTCGCAGTTCAAGAGCCAGCAGCGTTCTCTGTGCTGTCACCATGAGCCTCACATCTCTTTTCCTCCTCTGCTCGTGATAGTTAGCGGAGGAGGCAAGGCAGAATCCCCAGAGCAGATAGTAGCAGGAGCTGAATATTCTTAAACTCAAATTGATGCATTTGCTGCTGCTAAATTAGCGGTAGCATACACTCGCCCCCTGAGAGACTAGGCGGCACGATGGCTAGTGTAGCCTCTGCTCCTCCTCTGTTGTGATACTTGGTCATAAGACACAAGGAGGGAGGAAACACAAGGTGACTCACAGCTTATGTAACAAATCTTACACTGTGTTAACAAAAAGAAACCAAAGCTGTTATACACACACGTCGTAGATTCTCCAGTTTGATATGCAGTGTTTGTTTTTTCTTACTGCGCATTTTACTGTATTTGTACTGCACGAAACCAAGGATGGAGTGTACATGGTGGGTAATATTAGTCAATGCAAGGCGACGGTGTCCCAGACATTACTCATGTATTGACGTTTTGGGATCACTAAATTCTGCCGAGGCCATTCATTTGTAACAGTCAGCTTTACTTAGGATGAATCAATACGGGGTCCTGAGGACCAGATAGAAGTTAGACGTGTTTTTGTAAATATGGAGAGCACGAAGAGTATTTGATTCAGGGTGTATTGAATAGGCATGACATAGAATGGCGTGGTGTTTGATTTCGTGATAGAGAAGAATGTATTTCACTGACCTTCAGGGACTTGAGCGTCAACCCAATATTTCACGAGGTGTGTGAAATGGAGAATTAAATATGTAAGACATATTTTTTGTTGATCGCATGTTTTCTCCTAGATAGAAAGTTCTACAGTTTGTGGGGTGGAAAAGCTCCTGATCCAAAGCCTAACACATTATCCATCAAATACGGTGAAGGAAATGTTACAGCATGGTCATGCACGGCTTTGCAGCGGAACCGGGACACCACATGTTTATTGATGATGTGACTGCTGATTGGAGCAGCGGCATGAATACTAAAGTGTACACGGATTGCAGATGGCTGTTACAGTTACAGCAAACTCTCTGGACTCAAAACCTTTTTGTTGATAATTTTACTGGTCTAATTTATTCTGTATTTTAACTTGTTTATGTGCTGTTTTAATGGCATTTAATTAATATTATTTAATGTGACCACCGGTCTGTGTCAGGCCCTTTGTAAATAAATGTTACTTACGAGGCTGTAGTCTCTGCACAGATTCATCCAAATGCTACAAAACTGAGGAGTTTCTCAAGGGAGAATCTTCAGTGACCAAATCATTCACCTGATCTCAACCCAACAGAGCAGGCTTTTCAGTTACTGAAGACAAAAAGTAAAAGCACAAAGACCCACAAAAACACCCACAAACAAGCAGCAACTGAAGGCGGCAGTAAAGGCCTGGCAGAGCATCTCAGGGGAGGAAACACAGCATTTGATGATTTCCATGGGTTTTAAACCTCAGGCAGTCATTGTCTGCAAAGGATTTTCATC